GACTGGTTTTGCCATGAAACTCAAAGTTCATTTCCCAAGGGAAATGTAAAAAACATCTCAAACACTGCAATTCCTAAAGCAGACAAAAACTAGCAATTATATTAGAGCATTGTAATAACTCACATCACCTCTGCCATATTAGGAACATGAGAAAAACCCTCCCTTTCCCCCAAAAGAATATAATTACTCAAGTAACAGGAAGAAGGGCAAAGAGGTGAAAGAAGAAATGGAATATCCAAACACTGTAAAAACTGATTTAAATTATAGAAATTAATAGTGAAAAACCTTTTCTAACACAGTAGAATCAGAAAATATCTCAGAAAGGAGGTGAAGTTGTCAAATAAACAAGGTATAAAGCAAACCACTTGATGATAATGTGATTGTAGAAAAACTAATAGAATTCTTTGCATCAGCATTTACTAGAGGGAGAGGGGAGATCAGCTCCATTCATAGTCTTTACTGTCATATTAATTTAGAACCCCCTTTCTCTTATTATGGTTATACTTGAAAAATAGAGGAAACCAGGTGATTCAGCAGATTGGTAATGTGATACTAACAGTTCATCTCCAGGTCATTAATTCCAATCCAGCCTAAATCAATGACAGCTTTGAATCGCTCCCATTTAATGACTGTCACCTTTTAGAATATCTAGTCCCTGAAAGGGAGTTACTGATACAATCAGAACACTGCAGAAGTAATGTGTATTGTTTATTGAATGAAAACATGCCATTCACCATAGAAATAATTAACAATGAAACTGAGTATACTACAACATGTTAAGCATTTATTTCCTGCAGGAAGAAATTAATTTGAACACATCTTTTTCCACTTCAGCTATGCAAAAGAGGAAAAAAAGAGCTTACACATGCAGTTTCTAAAACTTCAAAATGTTACTACTTTGCAAACTGTGCCTGATCTTGAAATACACATGGTCTCATAGCTACTGATGAGTTTAAGAAAAAGCAAGGGGCCTGTGTTCCACTTGTTACACATTTCCCAGAATAAGCATTTCCTGCAAGCCTCATTTCCAACTCAAATTTCCAAAGCCCTTTCCAGATTTACAGCAAACTATCTGAGATTGCTTCCTAGCAGATTTGTGTTTATAACTCCCTGACCAATGGTTCTTCACAACCAAGTGGAACAATACATTGCAATATAGCTGCAGCTGCTCCCCACATTGCACTCTCTCCCTCTTCAATCACAGTGGTTACACATGGATGTTTAAAGAACATACCCTGTGCTGGGGAAAAAAAAGTGTATGATACTAAATACTGGATAGTAATTGCTACTTTTTGCTAACCTGTAAGTTTAAGTGAAATAGTCTTAACTCTTAAAAAAACGCCCAACCAATCAAATGAAAAAAACATGTGGTAGACAGCATAACATTACTTAGAATGAGCTGAATACACACTTGTAAGAAGTATACTGGGAATTGAAATATAGGTAGGAAATTTGTATATCAAGTTGCATTCATTTCTGCTGTTTAGGTCTCTACACAACTCTCCTTGTTCAAACTAATAATTCACCACCAAGAAAAATGAGAGTAAAAGTAAGGCTCAAACAGTTCCCATTGTATTACTTAGGCCACTTTGGTTAACCAAACAGCTGTGAAAACACTGGAGCCTTATGTCCATGACAGCCTCAATTACTACTCAATTTAGAATCATATTCAATTCTGTTAATATTAACAATGCACACATTGCCTTATTATGAAAATCACAAATTCGTTGTAAAAGAAATGGCTAAGTCATTCCATCACCAAGACAGACCCTCACAATCCACTAAAACTTCAAGTCAGTAGTGCTGGTCAAGTAGTATAATATTAAGTTAAGCACTGAGATATACAAGAGCAAGCTACTTTTTCAACTGTTCAAAAAAGAGAACAAGTAACAGGAAAATTATGAATACAATTAAGTGCCACATTACTACATACCTTGTAATGTGGACGAATGTTTGCAAAATATATATAAGAATCGACAGCCAATGCAATTTTCAGTCCACCTCCCTCCCAGGACAAAGAGGATAACTGTTTACCAGGAACTTTCAGTGTACGCAAATGCTTGGTTAAAACAAGGAAAGAAAGACATTATGGATTTATCACAGGAAAACCACTCTAAAATACATAAACAACAGTTGTGATAGTTGATGAAAAAAAACCACCATAGATTTTTTTGACAGTAGCCCATAATGGTTCCCAAATTGCAACACATATGCAAACAAAGAGGGAGATATTCAACATGCATTACTTTTGCCTCAGGTTTGGTTTTGAGTATTTTTCAGACAGAAAGGAAAACCAGGAGTCAAAGCTAAACAGTAGATAGAGAATGACAATATAAACATTTTTTCCTTTGGTTGGTAATTTGAATCACCTTTATAATTTCAGTCACTACTAAAACAAACAACAATAGTACAGATCTTGACATGCCTCAGACCTTTCATTGATGCTAGAAGTGTATTAATCAGTTGATGTACAACACCCTTAACTACAGCCAATAGCTTAAACAAATGAAAACATATCACCAGTCTATGTTAAGGGAATACAATGAATAAGCTGCATAGTCACACAGTTTGAAGTGAGGCAATGGACATTCTCCTCTTCTCTATTCCCTTTCCAAAAAAGTCTAAGAAAAGCAGTTAGTACACTTCAACCTTTTTTTAAAAGATCTTTATTTTGCTGAAGAATATGAAGTTGAATGAAGTAAACAACTGAGAGGAAAAAAAAGATGCTTTCAAAAACAATAACCTAAGTCCTACAGAGCACTTTTGTGTTGGCACCTTTTTGTTTGCAAAATAATATAGATTTAATAAAGGATACACTAATCTACTGTAAGATCTTACTGTAAGATTTTGAATAATCTTGAGCTTTAAAAAAATGCAACATTTTACTGAGTAGAACACTGGAACTTATGCTCAGCTCTAACTTTCCTTTTGAGGGCATAACTTTGTGCCTAAATAAACTGCTATCTGTGAACCTACACTGAACCTACAGTTCAGTACCCATTTTATTCCTTTGATCAGATGCAAATACCAATGCAAAATACTGGTCACACATAATTCACAGTAGATACCATCTTCCAAAAAGCTAAGTCCATATCTAAGTATCAGAACTAGTACAAAACAATTCTAAAACCTAAAGAATTTACTTCTAGAGACGAAACACAATCAGAAACACCGGTTTCAATTAACCTGAAGGACACTGGAAACCAGAGATGTAACATTATTGCCAAAACCTTTGGTTCCATTTAACACTTTGAGCTCAGGAAACCCCTACAGATGATGCTGGATTTTAACCCCTTTCACAGCACAGCTCAGAGAAGACCAGTTCTTCCTCTGTACAAAGGAGAAACTTCCTCACACTGATATATAACACTAACTTACTGATTTCCAGATATATTACTAAAAGGGAAAGGGAAATTACCTGGCAAGGCAAGAATAGCACCGTGAATGAAAATATATTGGAAAGTTGTCACTCAACTATCAAATATTAGGCATAGTATAAAAAAGACAGGATGTACAAGAAACATTTACAAAACAATATCCCCAACAGCCAAATTAAGAAGATTGGAGACAGTTCATCCTTTCTGAGGTTTCTGAAACAATGCTTTCTCAGTTTTACTGATTCCATAAAAATAGAGAGAAGCATTCACTGCTGTATTTTAAGCTCCTAACCTAGAGATCTCCAGGTTTCATAAAGAGTCAGTGGAGGAAGACAACTATTTCTGAATTTAATACACAAATGTTGACACCTTCACTGTTGCCTAAGCTCCAAATTATTTATCATCTACAGTCTGAGCTCAGGTACCTGAGTCAGGTGTTCAGAGTTAGACACCACACACATCTCATCATTTAATGTTTTAGGAGATGCACTCAGGTTTTCATGCTGGCCACTGTCTTTCTGTTTTAAAATGGTACTTGGTCCTGTGGCACCTTTCCAGATCCATATGGATATCCCTGATACCTTACCACACTTAAACACCTACATTTTGGCAGCCAAATTCTACCATTAATGCCCATGTTGACAAAACATACTAAGATTAAAAAACCCAAACTGACATTTACATTATATAACCATATTAAATATTTTTACCTCACCAAATGGAGTATAGAACTGCACAATGTTGACATCTTTATCCTGAGAAGTTGCTTTGAGGGAGCCTGCCACAGCCAAAACGCTGCCACACGGGTTCCACTGAATGCACACTACATTCATACCAGTGTCAATCAAAACAGGATCTGGGTTTTAAGAAACAAACACCAAGAATATCAACACAAGTAGGCACTTTGGGTCAAGAGTAGCTCAGGAACGTGCACCCCACATTTTGTACGCACTGTGGTCATTCTCATCTCTCATTATCTGGCATCTTCCATTGTCATAACAGACAGCAAGGCAGGGACAGTCGGGTTCAATGTAGCCTTCGGTGCCGTGGTACCAGTGTATCCCAGCAATACTGAATGCTCCAGATGAGTTCACCAAACAACTCAGCTTCATTTTCACCTAGACAAGAATGGTTAAAGTCATATAAAAGATGTTACTTAAAGAATAATTTATATCTGTACTGACATCTTGAAAAAGACCAGATGTCTAAGCAAAACTGCTTTCCTGGCCCAAGAAAAATTTTCAAGTTCTCAGAATTTTAAGGGTTTTAAAAACTTCTTCATTCAAAGCCGAATCAGATACATGAAAACAAGTATTTTTAACTACAAAGTACCTTAATGTTGGCACTTGCATTCTTTGAAGTAACTTACAAACAAAGAAAAACAACAACCAAAAAAACCCACAGACATGTGGATACACACAAGAATCCTCATCAGAACTTTGGAAAACATAAAAATTATTTCAAACCATTCCTAGCCACAATGGCTTTTTAAGAAACCTTTTTCAGCTCGCTCTTGATAAAAGTCTGCTGGATAACATGCAAAAGTAATTGCAACAAATAAGTGTCGAAATCACAACACCAATTAAAATAAGTTAACTTTTGCAATAATTAGCCCTACATGCCTGGTACAACAGGTAAGGGCTTTTTCTGAAAGATAGAGCTCCATCTTCATACACATGGATCAATTTAAAAAAAGACATCAGGTAAGTTATGGGAGAGAGGGGGAGAGGGAGAGAGCAGAACCATACATATTGTTGATAAGGTGGGGGAAGTGACAACAATTTATTTAAAGAATTTCAGTAATCCACGGCAGCTAGAAACACCATGACTCACACAGTGGGAAGAAAGAAAGATACAGGGGGAGGTTAATGAAAAGATAAAGGGAAGGATAACAGATACTTTCTTAGGGAAGCAATGGAAAGGAGGAGAAAATTCACCATCTTAAGCATCTAAAAGTAAAGAACCTGGTCCCAAATATGGGGTTTTTAAAGTCAGTGTTCTACTTCTGTTTAGCATTTTGTCATAGTCTTATTCCAACACTCCAAGTGGACTGAAATTAATAAATAAACGAACCCAAGTTGTAGGAATGCAGCAATACAGTTTTTTACTTTCATTTTTTACCACTTACTACCACATTTCCCCATGAAGCATGTAACATTCACCATCCCTGGAGATTTCTAACATGAGACTAAATGGGGCACTTAGTGCCATGGTCTAGTAACCACTGTAGGGTTGGACTTCATGATCTTGGAGGTCTTTGCCAACCCGGTTGATTCTATGATTCCTTATGTAATAAAAATGATAGGAGCAATAGGGAAATGAACTACAGGTTTATTCTAAAAGCATGCTAGTACTTTAAGAAGCAGAAGCTATAAGAAGTCAATAACCTTTAAGCCAGCATTAGTTCCTCCAAATAACAAAGGGGGGAAAAAAAGCACAACAGCTAAAAAATATTAAACCTGACCTATCCTCACAAGCATCTTTGAAAATAAAGATTTTCAGATGTCCTAAAGAGCTTCATTTAACTTCATTAGTATGATCATTCCTATTTTTTCATTTCTTCTAACTATTGCAAGGCAAAGAGGCGTTAGTTGGTGTGATATCCATTTAGCTGCCAAAAACCCCAATTATAATAAAAAGCTGCACAACTCTTGACTAAAAGCTCTGTGCACAAGACATTGTCTAGTTCTCAGTAATGAAGCCCACCAACTAAACAAAAAAGCATGAAATAAATTAATAGGAAGTAAGCTTTGATGACTGTTGAAGCTAATACCTTTATTATACCATGATGAACTTACAATAAAATTTCCCTGGTTGTCATAAATGTGAATCTCTCCATTTGCCATTCCAAAGAGCAACACTTTGCTATCAGAAGACCAGGCCACGTGGCACAGGTGGGAACCTTTCAAGTCCTTTCCCCAAATGCGATTGCCTGTAACAGAACACCGATTTTACTTAATAAATATAAACCAAAATTAAAAATAGGACACAAGTTAGCAATGTAAAAACTACAACAGCTAAAGGAGGTCCAAGCAACAATTAGTAAATGCCTATTAATTTTATTTACCTAGAGAAACAGAGCCACTGTGTAATAACACTGAAAACAAAAGCTGTGGAACAGCACAATTAGTAGAGCTTAAATTTTACCATCCACCGATCCAACAATCACAGCTCCATCTTCATACACAATACAAATCTTCTGCCCATCAGCATTCCAGCTCATACTTCGGACAACCGATTTATTTCTGTTGTTAATCATCTCTTCATACCAAGCACCTATTTGTAGTGAATAAAAACCTCAGTTAGGTTCTGGTACAACAATCCTCTGGAGGACTGAAGGTACACACTAATCACTGAATTCAGAGCTAAACTGCTGTCCATTAAAAAGAAATGCAAATGGGATGGGATGGGAATAACATTTCTTAGCCATATGAATTCCTGAAGGTTTTTTTAAAAACACAAAGAATACATAATACAGTTTACAAGAGTTCCCACGCAATTAAGTTAGGTGCTCAATGAAATGGAGAAACTCAAGAATGGTGTTTGTAAGTAAACATGACATAGTGACATGTGACTCTACAATGCCATGTAGAACAGAAAGCTACAGAAGCAGGAAGTTTTGGGAGGGAACTGTCCTTTGGAAAGAAAGGTGTTCTGCCCTTGCAGTAGAAGTCTCACAAGACTACATTGCACATACAATTATGGTGAATCCCAGTGCTCAGATGTGAGCCACTTATTTGCACAGTGTGTACTGACAAATGGGGAATTGGAAAGGGAGGTCAAAGCCCTAGAGGAAGAGATCTGTGCTTACCTAATTTCAGAACTGACAAGAATATACTAGGAAACATAAACAGAGGGAACAACCATCTTTGCTAGGAATAGGCAGTAAGTAATTTACTGATTATTTTTCAAAACCAAGAGATTATTTATGTGACAGTAGCCACCACATATCAGGCAGAAAGACTAATTGAGTTATATTTTTTATTCCTGAAATGAGAAACTGAGCTGAGATTTTGTTTCCATTTCTCATCAAATGAAAATCCCCAAGAGAAAAAGAAAAGCCTTTATTTTCTTTTTCCTACATGTGTTGGGGCTTCACTGTGAGGCTTGCTGGCTTTCAAATGAATTCAAGTGTATCAAAGTGGGACATGTATGTGTGAAAAGCTCAAGAGCAATAAAAGACAATTACAGCAATACACTAGTTAATCATATTTGTTTCATATTAGTTCACTGCCTTAATTAAACATTTCTAAAGATTGTTTTTATGAAAGTATTTAATTGATGTTCTAAGCAGGGTTGCTAAGCTCTTGTAGTTCTACCAGTATGTTTGTGCTTGATGCACAATATACTATTTTCCTCCACTGGAATAAAGTAACAGAGATATGAAATTTAAAGCAGTTTATCAAGCATATGGCAAAGAACTGATACATTCTGCTGAGGTAGCTCTGCAGGACAAATGCCTTCTTACCTGTGACTACACTCCAAAAAATGTAGACAAGTATTACAATAAAAACATGGAAATTGCTTTAAAACTATTTTGAGTTTAACAGTCTGCAAAATAAATAGTCTGAAAAACCATTGTAAAAAATTGCAGCCAAAAAAATAAAACTATATTCCTCCCAACATGGACTATTACTCCATCTCAAGTTTATCCTGTAGAATACCTTTGTACATCATCCACACAATGATAAGGCCATTTTGATCACTGGTAGTCAGTTTTTGATACTGTTCATTCCATGTCACAACCTGCACAAAACCTAGAAAGTGATACAAATATTTATTGGCATTATTTAAGTAAGTTAAGAAAAAAACACCACATCCAACTTAATCAACCTGGAGCTTTTCAGAAATCTGCACTGCTGACTGATTTATTTGTGGGCTTTCTTTCTGTACCATATGTTTCCTCTTACAAAATTCTGGTCAATAGCTCCTTTTGCTTCTGTATTCATCCACTTGAGTAACATCCTCTCCAAATCCTGCTCAGAATGTTTCTTCCATACACGAAAGCCAAATCATAGTTTTGTGGTTTCTGACCACCTCTGACAGGTTAGTCTGGGACACTGATAGAACTTTAGTCATGGGAAGTTTAGCTTTTTCCTCCCTTTAGTAGTTTAATCCTCACTACTTCTGCACTTTTAGAACAAAATCTCCCTCACAGGTACCAAAAAGCACAATATACACAATTCTTTCAGACTCTCAAGTCTCATATGGGATCCTACTCATAAATATTTGGCTTAACTTGAAACATCTTCAAACCTTATTTCATCAGTTCCATACTGGATATGAACCTGCATCACACTTTTTCAAGCCCTCACTGTTAGTCACCCATTTTTTCTATATCCTTCCCATTTTTCAGTATTTCAGTCACAAATTTTATCAACAGATGCAATCAAAGGTATCCTGAATGTCAGGGATTTTTGAAGGTAACAGTGATCTGTTTCAGAATTGTAGACACACCAAATATCCACCAAATCCTCACTATTCATATGTTTCAATCTTATTTAACCAGGCCCCTAAAACAACCTGACTCTTGGCAGGTTTCAGCTGCAAATCTTTGCAAAGTAGAGTATTTCTTCAAATAATGTAAGGATTTTAGCATTCTCTTCATATCCTATTGCCCATGAGTGACAACCATTTAACCCTTCTCATGTAAGAATTTAATTCCTCCCTAGTTTCACCACATTCAACTCTTACACACTATCCATCTCTAGCCTGTTTTCTAACCTCTCAAAACTGTCTGTATACTACACTGCTGTCTAGCATGTACACACTCAGTAATTTGTCAATAAAGGGAAAACTAAGGTATTATTAAGACAGAGTCAGGTTTACTGAACTAGTTTTGATTTTTTCAGAAGAAAATGTACAGCTACCATAACACAGAGGCAAATCTCACAAACGCTATAGAAGTATGTGTCAATAGAAAATGTTTAAGAAGGCTTTTAGTTTCATTTTGGACTTTAGCCTATCATGCAGAATTTAAAACTTTATCTATGTAGTGTAAGAGAACATTGTTCTTTTTTTTTCAACCACAGTAGATCATCATTGTTTCTTTAACTCAGCAATTCCACCATCTACTGCCCATCAGTTTATCTTTTCTGGTATAAAGCATTCTTTACCAATCATCTACCAAGGCAGTATGTAAACAAATGCATAGAAGCAAATTTATTATCATCTTTTATATAAATACTTAAAAATATATTTCCATCCCATGCAACTGAGTAGCAGTTCCAGATTTTCCATGCTCAAGTCAGAGACAAGTCCTACAGCAGCAACCCAACAAACAAAAGTCCTCTGTAACATAACACCCACAACAGCATCACCCACTTAAATAGAAATCACTGTGTCCTTCTCAAGATAATGAATGGGAACCAAATAATTTGTAAAAAGCAAAAACCTGAGTTAACACAAACCCAAATTAGGCCATAATGACAAAGCTCAGACTTAACCTTGCAAAATCCAAGAGCAAACTTGAAATTGTACCAGGCAGAGCAGAGCTTGGTTTGTGCAGGACACACTTGGCATACACACACAGAGTCAGCCAGCAGAACTGAGGCAAAGCTACATCAGTTTGATTCTCAACCCAGGGATTCACTCACAGATCATGAGAGATTGACTGTAGGTCTTTCACCAGATAACCAGGTGAAAGGAGATAGCCAAGCTGTTACATACCTCAGTTGAATACTGGTAACCTTTATTTCAGGCTTACAATAAAAAGTTACACCAAAATTATTCCATCAGCTTCACAAAATCTTCTATTTGTTTATTCTCACCAAAAGTAGATTAAATGCCCAAATAATACACTTACCACTGTGACCTTCAAGAGTTTGATTCACAGAAACATTGCTAGGAGGTGCCAGTCCCTTGATTTTTGCTTCATCTAAAAAGAACACAAAACATTGTAAAATAAACCTTTCAAAGCATACATATTACTGTGTCTCTATCAGCAGTGCAGCTCTAATCACTATTTACATAGATAAAATGAATCACTTAAAAGTATGTAAATGGTAACTGTAGGATGAATTTTCCACCCCTCAGTTCAATGTGTTTGCTATTCACATCTGTCATGTAAATACATATACACCCTATGGTCTAGAGGTTTTTCACGGGAAAAAGCAACAAAATCAACAAACAAAAAACCCCCAACAACAACTATGGCTATCACATTTTGTTACATTCAGAAAACGGATTTTTCTTGGAACGTATTTATTTAAAAGAAAATACACAGCTTTCTCCCTAAAATAATTCAAGTAATAATTAAATAAGTTCCAAAATAAAGAGGAAGACTACACAAAAAAAAAAAACAAGAATTAAAGAGATGCCCTGAGAAAAGAGGCACTGAAGAAAACTTTGGCAGAAGTTGGACAAGTTACATGAGACCACCTGGAGGAAAAGGGTGTTCAGAACAAAGTGATAAAAGAATCTGACATTAGTGCAAACATAACAGGTACAGATATAAAATGTATGCAATACTGTCAAGTAACTAGTGGGAGAAATGATGCTTTCTGAAGTGTGGTGGGTTTTGTTCTTGGAAAGAAAAAGCAAAAACCCCTTGTTTACCTGTTTGTGTTTCTAATTTCAGGACCTTCAGCAATCCATCCTCTCCACCACAGGCTATGAAACCTTGATCCTTATTCCAGGAGATACATTTCAACCGAACATTACCAGGAATTGCAATCTGAAAAAACAGGTCTTTTGCATCTCTGCACAGCTGCAAGGATCACGTTTTACTTCACACGCGCTGTTTGAATAGCTACCATACCACACAAGACAATTATTTCTACTAAGAGATGCATGCAGAAAGGGGCAGAGGACAGAACACGCCTGAGTGGAGCTGTGCCGCACTCGAGCACTGTGACCCGCGGCAGGTGAGAACAGGACACCGTCAGAGGTGTGCAGGGAGCGGCACGGGCAGTGAGAGGGATCCCGAACCGCGACCAGA